TGCAGCATATACGCTTCAAACATCAACATCATCGTTAGCCCCACTTATTGTGTCCCGTCATCAGGGAAGGATGCTGTACAAGGTTAGCGCAGCGACGACGATCTACTGGGGGGGTGGACATATGCGCCGTGTGTGCGTGCGTGTGTTGCTGTGCGTGCGTGGTGCGTGTGCGTGGGCGTGCGTGCGTGCGTGCGTGCGTGCGTGTGTGTGTGCGTGTGTGTGCTGCGTGCGTGCCTACGTGCGCGTGTGCGTGCGTGTGCCGCCGAAAAATGTTGGATGGAGTGGTGTGACCATGAACAATGGTGGGGCTAATGATAGAGAGAGTGGCAATTGTGATCATGATGTACGCAATTACTCTTTGCCGCCGAATCCTCTCCTACTGCTAATTACTGGCAGCTGGCTTCATTTGGGAGACAGTGTCAGATCGCCACATCAGTGCAATATGATCAGCATTAGCTGATCCCGACATGGATTCTGTGTTCCGCTGGCTTGCCATTGTATCGCGCCTATACGTGATCACTGCTTGGCGTGGTGTCCAGTGTCGACTCTGCTTGCCGTGTGTGTCAACTGTGCTTGCGTGTTCACTGCTGCGTGTGTCACTGTGCTTGCGCGTGTGTCACTTGGCTTGCAGTGTGTCACTTGCTTGCATATGTCACTGCTTTGCGTATGTCAGCGCTTGGCGTGTTCACTGCTTGCATATTCACTGATTGCGTGTGTCGGACAGGTTTGTGTTGTCTCTGGGCTTTGTGTTTGTCACTGGCTGCGTGTGTCAGCTGCTTGCATATGTCACTTGATTGCAGTGTGTCACGCTTGCGTGTGTCACTGAACTTGCGTGTGTCCATACTGTTTTGTTTGGTCACGGATTGCGTGGCGGTGCTGAGTACGTGTGTGTTACTGTTTGTTTGTTCACGGATATGCGTGGCGTGCTGATAGCGTGTGATCAGCTGTGTTGTTTGTCACGATTGGGCGTGCGTGCTGATAGCGTGTGTCACTGTTTGTTTGTCACGGATGGCGTGCGTGCTGATCAGCGTGTGGTCACTGTGTTTTCGGAATTCTGGTGAAAGCCGGCGCATGTTGTTGTGTCCACGGATTTGCGCTGCGTGACTGATGCGTGGCGTCACTGTTGTTTGTCACGGGATTGCGTGCGTGCTCGATAGCGTGGTCAACTGTGTTTGTTTGTCATGGGATTGCGTGAGCGTGCTGATACGTGTTCGTCACTGTTTGTTTGTCACGGATTGGTGCGTGTGATCGTGGCGTGAGCTTTTTTAAGGGCGTGGTGCTAAGCGTTCCTGTTTTGTTTGTCACGCGATTGGCGGGCGTGCTGATAGCGTGTGTCGACCTGGGCAGGGCTGTTGGTCGTTTGGGCCAAGCTTCTTGACGCGGGACGTATTATAAGCAGCTTTATTGGTGAAGGTTTCAATTCAGCGTCAACGACGCTTTACTACTAAGCGAGAAACAACGCATTGAGTGCCACGAATGACGTCTATGAACGTTACTGTTGTGTGTGGGAACATATAGCGCGCTCGCTGCGTGCGTGTGCAGGCTAACACTAACAGGCAGCTGCTGCTGCTGCTAACGCTGCTGCTGCTGCTGCTGCGCCTGCTTAGCTGCTTGCTGAGCTGCTATACTGCTGCTCTGCTGCTGCCGCTACTGCTGCTGCTGCTGACTGCTACCTGCTTGGTGCTGTCTGCTGCTAAACTGCTGCCGGTCGCTGCTGGTGGTGGTGTTTGTTGCTGCTGGCTGCTACTGCTGCTGCTGGTGGTGTCAGGCTGCTGCGCTGCTGTGGGTGGCTGCTCTGGCTGCTGGCGGTGGGTGTTGCTGCTAACACTGCTGCACGCTGCTGCTATATCACGTTAATCGTCGTGATCATGGAATCCTCTTCATACGTCGCTTACGTCTTCATTTCCTGACGACAATGTCGGGAGTTGTCGCATAGATGGGTCACCCATGGCGGGCATGAAGGGTTATATAATCCTTGCAGGCTCAATCGCAGCTATGTTCGTCTGCATATAGCAGTTGAATCGTCGGGGTAGAAATTAACTTTGAAGCAACGAGGATTTCCACGACCTACCTGCCTGCAAAAAGGGGGTCGCACAAAATGAGGGAGTCCGTAGTCTGAAGTTCAAAATTAAGATTTGCTGAGAAAATACGGTAATTCCGCGAGATCGGGTGCTCACTGAACCAACTCAGTATAGTATAGGCAAGAATTTCAGCGAGTTACACGGAACCTCGCTATATCCTGCATACTGTCCATACGCTATGCCTGCATATGTCAAAAATCAGGATCGGCGGCAGTAAATCAGCGGGAGTATTTGACTCTGGACTCCCGTTAATTTCGCAACCCTGAATTTTTATATTTATTATTATTCGATGACACAGTGAAACATCGATAACTGTGGCCGATATTCTACCGAACAATGAATAGTTGTTCGATAGTTGCAAGCTTAAAACACCAAGTTAGTTGATTTGCCCGCTAAAGATGTCACGTAAAAAGTATGAAAGTAAATAAGAATGATTTTGGCGCGTAAATAAGCATGAAAACCATTACCGGTACTTTTGCCATTAACTGCCATTGTGAAATTTTTTTTGAATTGTATATAGAACCATATCTGCTATTATTGTAAATAATTAGACTGGTTCCCGGGCATTTACACATGTTCCTGTTCAACCTAGCTTCACCTCACTATGCTTGAGTGTGTGAGTGGAATGAAAGAGGACGCTCATCTAATAAACATATGTCGAAACGCAAAGCGAGG